TGTAATACACCACTGGGAGCTAACATTGCCTGGAAAAGAATACAAGTCTCACTTCAGATTATTTTGAATTTGTAATAATTTTAGAATTGCATTATTTTCTCATCTTGTATGAATTTATTTTTAAGGCATTGATAAACAAATAAATTGAATAGTTTTTGTTTGTTTGTTTTTTGTATGCCTTTGCCTCACTGCCTGACTATTTTAGTGCATCTGTGCTATTTTTTTTTTTTTTTTTTTGGACATAATGACACATTTAAATTTTGTCATCTTCTGACTTCTCACCACAGACAGAGAGAGAGCCCATTGGAAGGGTAGTTCAACCGTGCCTGAAAGTGTTTTGTAAATATTTTTGTAAGTTGTGTAGCATATTTCTTCAAATCTAAGATCCCATTTAATATGAGATATTTTTTAAAATAAACAAAAACAACCAAACAAAAAAAAAAACCACTCAAAGGGCATGATTTATCCCTACAAGGATGTCTGCCCCTATAAGGAATTATAATTGATCTTACACAAATAAGTCACCCTCCCACTCTGAGTCCCATTGTGCCTTGATGTTCTGCAGTAATGCACACTAATAGAATGATGCTGTTTCCACGACCCAAACTCCCAATCTGGACCTCCTTAGCATTCTCCAGACAGACAGCATAAAGTCAAAGTCAAAGCTTTGGCTTAATTCTCACAAGCACATGTGATAACAATTAAAATTAGAACCTACTCATCTATCTTGAGAATGTCATGTTTTTTTTTTACATCAATTTAACTACCATTCCAATTTCAAAATGTTATCAACAAGAAAACACTGTTTTACAAATGTGTTTGAGCTGGTGTCTCCTACTAATATTAAAAAGCTTAAACCAGTTTTTGTTTTTCAATAAACTGGTTTCTTAAATACTTTTTAACACAATGCATCATTTGCAGGAGCATCAAGGGAGTAAGAAAGCAGGGAGTAAGAAAGTAATGGGTTTCATTAAGCCCGTTCATTTTAAGTACTAAATGGAATTCAACACTTTATTCAAGGTGTTTTATATTTGCATTTGCATAGCTTTGGGAATCATTGTTAAATTATAAGGAGATTACCTTAGTCCTGAATGTGTAAAAATATACGTGGGGGAAATGGCTCGGTCTATGCATGTAGTAAAGGGTCCGAATTTGAGAAAAAGTAAAATGTGTAATTATACCTCAGAAAAAATACAATAAAATATCAAGGTGAGTGAGACAAAGATATTCTATAACTTTTCACTTTGTATGTTTATCAATGTCTTAAAAATGAGTCCTTCAACAAATTAGGTATAGAGAGAACATACCTCACCATAATAAAGGCCATTTGCAACAATCTCAACATAATAAAAACTGCATACAACAAACCCACAGCTAACATCAAATTCAAGGGTAAAATAATGAACGTTTCCCTTCTAAGATCGAGAACAAGATAAAGACAGCCGTTTCCACCACTCTTATTCCATACGGTACTGAAAGTTATGGCTGGACCAACTAGCCAAGACAAAGAAATAAAAGGCATCCACACTAGAAAGAAAGAAGTAAAATTGTCATTATTAGTAGATAAAATAATATGATCTCATGCATAGAAAATCAAAGACTCAACCAAAAAAATGTGAGAACTAAACAACAAATTCCGTGCAGTTACAGATCATAAAATTAACATACGGACATCAATATTCTATCAGTTCTGTTTCTGTGCAGAACACAGACTAATCTGTATCATGGCACTGAGAGAGGTTACAGAAACAGAAGAGACGTATTATAAGGTACTGACGTACAGGATTGTGGAGGCAGAGAAGTCCCGTGATCTACCACTGGTAAGCTGGAGATGCAGGAAAATTGGTGGTGTAGTTAGAAAGGTTGAGAGCCCCAGAGCCAATGGTGTAGTTTGAAGTTCCAGTCTGAAGGCCAGAGAACTAGAAGCACAAAAGGCGGAAGATAACATCCCAGCCTAGTAATCGGGCAGAGAGAGGCCTGAACATTCCTTCCCCTTTTTGTTCTATTGAGTGAAAGGTTGGTGCCCATTAACATTGGGAGGGCAAACGGCTTTACTCAGCCCACCAACGCAAATGCCAATCTCTTCCAGAAACACCCTCACAAACACACCAGAAATAATTTTTAGCCAGATATGTGGGCATCCTGTGACCCAGTCAAACTGATATGTAAAAGTAACCATTATAGATGGAAAGCAAATGAAGTGAACAGTGTGATAGCCCTAGCGGGCTGCCTTAAGAGAGATCTCAGGCTCTGGCCGAGAGGAGGTCCTGGGAGGGCCTCCCTGAGGTGAGGACACGTGGCTGAGAGCCTGGGGAAACCAGGAGATGGAGGAGCAGAGGAGTGAGACTGACGCAGGAAGAAAATCCGAGAAGTCTAGAAAGGAGTCCTCTGAAGTCTTCACTAAAGTACTGACCACCACATATGTGAGAGGAATCAACCTGAAACCATCTCTAATGATTATAATGGCTCCTAATCTCAAATCATTAGAGGACATAGTGTCCAGCACTCACACGGGGCCAGGAATAATGCATGTTCCCACCAGCAAGACTCAATTGTTGGGGCATTGGGAACAGTTTTCAGGAAGGTCTTGCCTCAATAGAGGGAAATAATTAACCCTAGACTGAGCACTGCTCTAGACCCTCCTAACAAGTCATAAAAGCATAACCCAAGTAACATAATTGCATTCCAGAAGGAAGATCAAGAATAAGACCCTGAATGATGACTGCAAGAGTCTGGAGTCAAGAGAAAGCAGTCCCACCAGCAGACAATCATAAACAAACTCAAGCCTCTTGAAATGCATATTTTAGCCCCTGAGGCTGCTTGGTTGCCATGGTCCCAGGCCTTCATTCTGCCCATCTTTCTCCATGCTCAAGCCTCTGAACCTTGCCCAATGCTCACTTTGGTGCCTGTTTGGATGAACCTATCTTGTTTGACCTCATTTTTCTGCCAGGGCAGGCAGGATTTTATTATCGACTTTCATGCTTTATCCCAGCAGTTGGTGGATCAGTTGCTGGACCAATTTCTTACCTAACTTTTTTCTATTGTAAGCAGAAAACTGAATCAAACCCAACACAGTATTTGTATTTTGTGAGGGTTCAATAAAAGTTAATGGGCTTGAATTTAATTTATGTTAACTAAGCTTTTTCTCATGGTTTCTGCATCATCAAACAACGTCCAAGCATGTCTATTTTTGTGGCTGAAATCTCTCGGTCCTACTTTTAAGAACACAGATCTTCGCTTACATACTGGAATGGTACTATGTTTCTTTTAGCTGGGCTACAGCTGACTGGATGAGATGTATACCCAATCATGGAGGTGGCAGTAGCTTTAAACAAACACAAGTGGAAATCCAAAATGAAATGGGAACCACAAACCAAGTTCTTTGCAGACAAACAATTCAGTCACAGCAAGATTCATATTGGTTATATGACATCAAGCAGAGTTCCTGAAAACACTTTCTACCCCAGCTATCTATCACACATGCCAATAGCCCAAGTCAAGGGAAGAGGTAAGAGAGGAGGGAAGAGAACTTTGTCTCTAAAACAGATCCCTACAAAGTCTCTGGTTTTTAAGCAGATGTTACCTTCATAACAAAAAGATTTCTGTAATGTTAACTATGCTTTGCTTTCTTTCATATCAGGAAAGGGGACAGATATACATTTCTTATTGTTTCCCGAGACCTCAGAAAGGAGGAGAGATAGACGAAAACATGGAAGCAGATTATAAACTGCTTCTTAGCTTTCGACACTTCTGTTTCTATTGTGTGCCTATGCCAAAGATAGCTATGTGGTATTATGATTTCAAGTGCTGACATCAGAAAGATGAATGTCCTGAAGCAGTCCAAGCACACAGGAAAGTCTAACATTGTAAGCTTATTTGTTTTCAATTAAAAAAGTGAAATGGGTTAGTTTTTGATATTTTTATTTGTATATCCTTAAAACACTTGGCAAAACTATATTTAAGGTAGACATTACCTCAGGCAATTGTGATCCCTTCTGCATTTTTCTTTAAACTCAGCTGGACTTACTTATAAAATGCATAGCTTTTGAAAAAGATCAATTACACCTCAGGTCACAACAAGCTTCTCAAATAAAAGGATGATAGAATTTCTCACTCAGACATAAAAAACTAATCATGCAACATGAATGCTAAACATCTATAGAAGCCTAAATATTTGAGGTGCCTCTGCCCAACAGGTGATACAGTAACATGGCTGTTGTACTTACCACTGACTACTGCTATCTAGAAAATTCTGTCATTGCCCCAAGACAAATCCGTGAAATCATTTTGGATATGTTTATATATTTGGATAGAAAATCTCTTATTAGTGGTTCTCAAATTTGGTTGTACTTTAAGTTACTAGGCTTCAACCAGACCTTGGCATCAGCACTAAGAAAGCTCTGAGGTATTTCTCTATTCAGGCTGTGTTCAATCTTTAGCGTCCATCAGAATCACCTGGAAGGGACTGTTAAAACATGGGATGTCGGGCCACACTTGGAGCCTTATCCCAGGCTTTTTGATTAAGAAGGTGTTATAAATCCATTGTTAAGGGGTTGAAGCCTTAACTCACAATGTGATGGTCTTTGGAGCTGGCCCTGTGGGAAGTATTTAGGGTTCCATAAGGTCCTGAGGGTGGTACCTAGTCTCATGTGGGATTCTGTGGGATAAGTACGCCTATAAAGGAAACACCAGAGAACCCTCCCCTCCAACCACCACAACATCTATCTGTCCAGCACAAAGAAGGGGGTATATGAGCACACAAAAAGTTGGCAGCCACCTACAAGCCAATAGGCCTGGAGATCTGCATTTCTCACCAGTTCCCTGCTACTGCGGGTCTGGCAGTCACACTTGGCAGAGAGTACGCCTCAAACATCACTGGAACTCCAAGTCACCTGAGGTCTGGATCCAGTCCCGATTTTGATCCAGCAGTTTGAGAGTGGGGACTAAGATTTTATGGTTGTTTGTTTGTTTGTTTGTTTGTTTGTTTGTTTGTTTAGGGACAGGCAGATCACAGCTCCCAGGCATCCTGCAAATTAGACGGGTCACCTTATGGGCAACCTTTACCCACTCAAAAACTTGTCTCCCCTCAGCAGTGAGGATTCAGGTTTCACCCGAATTGTTATTTTCCTTACTCATAAGTTTTAGGCATAAGATTTTACAGTTCTAGCAAGCTCCCAGGTGATGATAATGAAATGTATTTTGAGTTGTTAGTTTATAGAGACTCTGAACACTCAGGTGTTAACTTTGAGCTCAAGGATAATATCTGATAACTATGCACCAACACGACCCGTCTTCCAACACACCCACCTCTTTCGAAACCTGGCTAAGGTTTCACCTCCTGTGTAAAGCCTTCCATGAGCAACAAGGTCAGAAATAAGTTCTCTTTTAAATGATGACTATTACTGATTGCCTTTGCCTCTCTGTTATTATTGTCTGTCATTCCTGCTCCCTGCTCTTGAGCATTTGCTAGATTCGGGGACTGCTCAAAATGCACTGCAAACATTTGTTTTATCCTCAGAACAGTGCTAGGATAAAATATTGTTCGCCCAAATTTAAAATGAGACAAAGAAAGAGGCTCAGAGGGTTTAAACAGATGTCCTAAGGACAGAAAATCAGAATGTGGTGGACGGTGGGGAAGGGTTGCCAATTCTATCCTACATGCCCAGCAGTCAGGCCCATGTCTTTAATCACGAAGTTGAGCATCCTTCATTGGAAAGGAAGTACAAAGTTTCATATTGGAAATGTGACCCCATATGTGGAATGCTGTGATTACAGTAACCGAGAGACATAGAGTGGTCACAGAGTTCACACTCTAGTAGAGGAGATAGGTATCGGTCATACAATTTCCTTCATTAATTTATAATTGCAAAATGAGATAAGTGCTGAAAGAAACCAACACCATCGTTTGAGAGACTCTAAAAACAAACCTGAGGCAAGGATCAGGGAAGGGAGCTGCCAGTCAAGGAAAGTGCAGGAACCTGAGATGCTGGAGCTAAGAGCCAAAGAATGACGTTTGAAGAGGAGGGTGGTTCCTTCCAGGCAGATGAAATCGCAAACATCCCATTATTGAAGAAAAATCTGGTAATTTCCATGAACTGAAACCAGACCACTGTGGCTATAGTGCCAAGAACTGGGGGAAAGAGCGAAGTTACACTAAGCGACGTGTTACTTCTGTTTTCATAATTATTGTTTGATTTTACATAAATTACTTTACTTTTAACAACTCACAGTCTTTACCTGTATCTTCATGCTGGTAAAATATAGGACATATACTTTTTCAATTTCAGGTGAATATCAATAATTTTTAGCGCATGTATCGTGTATGATTGGGACACACAAACATTAAAAATTCATCGTTTATGTAAAACTAAAATATGATGTCCAGTGTTTCTATTTGGCAAACCTAGCAACCCTATATGGAAGTCTTTCCTGAACTTTCTCTTAGTTGGTACTCAACAGTATTTTGGGACACACACTGGCTCAACAAATCTTAGAAACGCCTCCATCAAACACACACAGGCAAAAACACACACCCATTTAAGTGTTAAGGAGCATGTACTACATATCGTGCATGTTGTAAGTGCTGGGGATGTCAGTTAAGTGAATAAGACAGGCAGATTTCTTGCCTTGTGCATACATCTACATGACACATACCCAGTTCATACAAACCTGCCATGTACCAACAGCCAGGTGAGGAGCTGTACATACATCATTTAGTCCCACTAGAGTTATCATTATTATTTACATATATTACTTCAATATAATTTATATAGATAATAAGAATTAGGTCTTATTCTCATTATTATTATAGTTCAAAATTGGGGGAAATTGAGGCTTAGGGAAGCTATGCCTGTTATAACAACAATCAGACGGCTGAGTCCAGGGCCCATGTATCCGTGTGACTGGAGAGCAGGCATATGGTTGTCTGTTCCACAGCACTTCCTCCAAAAATGCCAGCCCACCATGTCTCCCCCATTTCAGTTTGGACATTAACTCTGTTATGTTTTATGATGTTATTTTGCTTTGCTTTGCTACTTTTAAATGAAAAGAACAGAGAGAAAACAGAGCCTCCTTAAAATGCAATTATATAAATATTATTCATTGCTCATTTGTTATTCTAATGGTGCAAGAAATCTTTTAAAGACTCTGTTTCAATATTAGGTTTTACTTTTTCTCACACCAATCACCAGTAAGAGACAGATTTATGGTTTTTAGAGCATGTGCTTGCCCTAGTCTCTGATGGAAGCATTATAATGTTCCCTCCCAGAAATAGACATTGGCATGCTTGTTTTTAACTCTTTAAAATGAATATATTCCCAAGGTGATGCTTATGAGATGACTTTTAAAGAATTCATGGTATAAGAAATATACCATGAAGCCCCAACTACAACAATATAATGGAAGTAGCAAGAGCAGAGTTTTCATATTCTCTATAATTCCATCATTAATTTGTGCAGTATTTTCCTGATCTTGAATTGTGGCTGTTGCAACAAAGAAGCTGTAAAACTTTTGAGGTTATTTATTGTGTGACAGCCTGGAACACAGCTAGATAAACTAAAGTTTTCCCAGTGCTTTGGATTTAAATGCAGCATTAGATCTCCCCGATTCCAACATTTAACCTGATTTATGGTTTGTGATGTGAAAATACTAGGGCTCAGATGGCTGTAAGTGACTTTGAAAATTAAGTAAAGAAGAAAATGTAAGGACTAATCTAAACTTGCTGTGAAATATTAATTATGCATTTCAAGTGAAGGAAGTAAGCGAGCAATAATTTAATCTGTGACATGAAATAAATCCCAAAATGTACTCTTGCTGAAGGCATTTTTGAAATAAACACTTGATTTTTAAGTCACAAAGGAACTGAAGTTGAAACTATTAGTGACTATCCTCTGAGCTCTTTATTAAAACATTTCCCCTCAGATATCTGTTTAAAAAAATATCTAGTTTTGAAAGGTGAGTTAGGGCAGAAAAACAACTTTAACCTAAAGAGGAATAGAGCATCTTTTTAAAGTATGCCAGGTGAAACTTCTTAATGATCCATGACAGTGGAAGACAGCTGCAACCGCTGAGTCAGTAGAGAAGAAAATCTACATGCAGGAGCAACCACAGCCTTTATTAATGCCCTGTGAGGAGCGTGTGCAAACGGCCAGACTTGCAGCAATACTTCTCTGATAACTGGGCATTCCAAACCACCTAGATATAAATTTCTCCAAACTTCCCAAACCAAAAATAATATCCTCAGCATTTTGAATTAGGCAAGACACACAGGCATGTTATCCATATTATATTAATCTTCAAAATGCATTGCCCAAGGAGGAAACATGAAAGAGAACAGATTATCTCCACTGGAGGAATTAACACTTGAAAAGAAAAAAAAAAAAAAGGTTTAAAAAATGCATCAGAGGCAAACACAACACATCTCGAATCTGCAAGTTTGCAGGAAGTTGCTTTCCCCAGCCTGGTGCACAGAAACACTGTGATAACACAAATATTTTGCCCTACCTCTTACAAGAGCTTTTTCTGAAAATGTTTCTTGAGATCTCAAAATTATGGTAAACTGCAGGATTTGAATGGTAGACATATTTTTTTTTATTTTTCTTTCCAAGATAGAGAGAGTCTTCTTCACTGGACATATGAGGAGGCATTAGTTTATCAGTTTTTAGGATGAAATATCAGCAACTTTGAAATATTATTCAGAAGTTGAGCTCTTTGTTCTAAGTCAATTTTGATGGAGTGAAATACTTCCAGGAAATATGTGGAAGTTTCTTATCAGATGGACTTACGAAACCAGCAGCAAATGTAAACTACCTATACATAATGGAATGAGGCAGGGAAACTGAGGAGGAATGAAATAAAATGAAAACATCAGGTCTTTTCCTAAAATAGTTTGAAAAGTGTGGTTCCCTAACCACGGCAGAAGCATTACCTGGTAACTTGTTGGAAATGCAAATTATCAGGCCTAGCCCTAACCTAGTGAACCTAGAGAATCAGAAACTCTGGGGTGAGACCAGCTATTTTAACTATCCCTTCAGTTGATTCCCAGGCAAGTAAGTTTAGGAACACTTTTTGTTAAGTTTATGATTTTATCAGAGGGGAAAATCTCCAGTTTTCACTTATGCAAACAAACCTGTGGAGGCTCACCTAAAATGCTAAAGTATCACTTTTTTCAGGCCCAAAGACAAAAGTCTTTAAGGGCAGATAAAAATAAAATAATTATAAAAATGGAAATGGTGTCATAGTTCAAAAAGCTTTTCAAAAGGTCTACAGAGTGAGGTAACATAAAACAACATTTAAAAGTAAACTTTTCTGAGATTCCATATACGTATTCTTAGAGAATAAGGCTACAAAATAGAGTGGACAGTAGGATACTTTTTGTTATACCCACACACATATGCACAAATACAGGCATATACACACCCCTTATTAGTATTTACATTGGTTGGATAGAAGTAAATAAATCTAACTACTTACAGTAATTATCTTTGGTTGGTGAGATTATAATTGATTTATTTTTGGTGCTTTTTATGTTTATTATATGTCTTTTATTAAATATCTATAACTTTTATCACCTTTGAATTAAAATAATGCTATTTGTGCTACTAAGCATCCTCTAATATATACCTAAGTTGGATAGAACCTCTGTTGAGAAGTTAACAAATCCTTAAATGATTGTAAATGGTTCCCAAACTTGTCTACAGATTAGATTCACCTGGAAGATTCAATCAATTCTGAAGACTGTATCCAAACCTGAGAGATTGTAATTTAATTTTTCTGGTTTGTGACCTGTGCTTTAAAAGGTTTAAAAAACAAAACAAAACCCTGGTGATTCTAATCCAAAGACCAGTTTGGGAACATGTATATGTATATGCAGTGTATATGGTTATAAATACCTCTTGTTTACAGTGTTATCATCAAAAAGTAGAATTAGGGTTATCATATTGTGATTCTAGATTTGCCTTATCAGAGTGTACAAGGACAAAATTCTGGTTGTACCTACTTTTATACTCTCAGACACATTTTTAGGATCCTGCTCTCATTTGTAATAATCAGTGCTGACGAGCTGGGCAGAATCACATGATCTACTCATCAGAAAGAGGAACCTCTTCAGTACCATTTTAGACACAAGGCATAAGGAGCAGGTGTGCTCCG